AATAGGAGTTTGGTATTCGAATACACTACAATATGAGTTTGGTATTTGGATACACTATAATATGAGTTTGGTATTTGGATACACTACAATATAAGTTTGGTATTCGGATACACTACAATATGAGTTGGGTATTCGGATACACTACAATATGAGTTGGGTATTCGGATACACTACAATATGAGTTTGGTATTCGGATACACTACAATATGAGTGGGGTATTCGGATACACTACAATATGAGTTTTGTATTCGGATACACTACAATAGGAGTTGGGTATTCGGATACACTACAATATGAGTTTGGTATTTGGATACACTACACTATGAGTGGGGTATTCTGATAAACTAAAATATGAGTGGGATATTTGGATACACTACACTATGAGTGGGGTATTCTGATAAACTACAATGAGTGGGGTATTCGGATACACTACAATATGAGTTTTGTATTCGAATACACTATAATATGAGTTGGGTATTTGGATACACTACAATATGAGTTTTGTATTCGGATACACTACAATAGGAGTTGGGTATTCGGATACACTACAATATGAGTTTTGTATTCGGATACACTACAATAGGAGTTGGGTATTCGAATACACTACAATACGAGTTAGGTATTTGGATACACTACAATATGAGTTTTGTATTCGGATACACTACAATAGGAGTTGGGTATTCGGATACACTACAATATGAGTTTGGTATTTGGATACACTACACTATGAGTGGGGTATTCTGATAAACTAAAATATGAGTGGGATATTTGGATACACTACACTATGAGTGGGGTATTCTGATAAACTACAATGAGTGGGGTATTCGGATACACTACAATATGAGTTTTGTATTCGAATACACTATAATATGAGTTGGGTATTTGGATACACTACAATATGAGTTGCGTATTTGGATACAGTACAATATAAGTAGGGTATTTTGATACTTTATAATATGAGTTTGGTATTTGGATACACTACAATATGAGTTGGATATTAGATACAGTACATTATGAGTTCAGTGGTATTCGGATACATTACATTATGAGTTTGGTATTCGGATATACTACATTATGAGTTGGGTATTCGAATACACTACAATATGAGTTTTGTATTCGAATACACTATAATATGAGTTGGGTATTTGGATACACTACAATATGAGTTGCGTATTTGGATACAGTACAATATAAGTAGGGTATTTTGATACTTTATAATATGAGTTTGGTATTGGGATACACTACAATATGAGTTGGATATTAGATACAGTACAATATGAGTTCAGTGGT